CTGGGTGACAGCATTGCCCGCCAGCTCTACAGAGCCTGGGAAAAATGACCACCAGGGACCAGCTGAATACTTTACAAAGCCAAATGCAAAATGACAACGTCTGACTGAAGGTTCCTCACGACTCCAGGACAGCAACAGCAGAAAACTATAGTGGGAAGGGGCTCTGCGGCCGTTTCTTTGCTGAGAGCAGAAGTGACGCCTGCAGTGTCCCGAGAGAGTCCTCCTGAGAATGAGGCTGCAGGCTCTCTCCCTGGAGAGCAAAGACCCGAAGTCAGTTCCCCTCCTGCTGCTCCAGGCGGTGACTTGTCATTCAGAGGTAAAGACAGCAGTCGCATGGCACAAAGCACTCGGAGACAGGTGCCTCTCTGTAAAAGCTGGAAGAGGCCCTGGAGCTCAGGGCCTGAGAGAGACACAGACACTGGCAACCCACAAGTGAGGAATTGGGGAAAATGCCACCATGGGAAAGCTGTTCTCCCCAAAACTGGTGTCGCTTCGATATTCCAGTTTCTTAGCGCCGCCCTCACACACTTGCTGAAGTCTGTTATATGGTTTAGCAATTTATTCAGATCCCCCTTTTAATCTGGGTCTTATTCTGTTTCCCAGAGTGACCTGCAGATTAATTTTCCTTAATCATTTGCTAAACCGAATAGCACAAGGATGGACTACATGGGCCGCTGCCCTGAGCATTACTGCGTTCAATGCCTACAGGAGAATCTTTCTCATGATTCAGAAAAAAAAATCATATACCTGCACAGGTCTGACTCAGTGCAGATGCATTTATTTAGGGATTATCGATTGCACAGCCACCAAGGGTCCCCGCCTCCAGCTTGGCTGACCAGACTTGCCCAGGGCATGTCCCCGAGCAGTTTCGCATCGCTGAGGCTTTCCAAGGTGATGAACAGACATGGAGACTTGGAGAACAAGGCCTTATAAGGGCAAATGCCTGGGGTGGGGTGGCAGCCTCACAGGGGATGGGGGACAGCATGCCAGGAAAAAAAAATCACACGACCCTGGACCAGGCCTCTACACTGCCTGGGCCTCAGTTTCCATTTCTGTAAATCCCGGAGCCGCCTGAGTGACCAACTCTCTAAAGTCAGTCCCCATTCTAAAACCCAGGACTTCGTTCCCTGGCCTCTTCCCACCGGAGGCCTGAAAATGACGGCGGAGAAACCACAGCTCCCGTGGGCAGAGCTGGTCATGAGCCAATCGTTTGTCATGATCTGAGATTCTGCACTGAGCATGGAGCAGGCAGCAACCTGGGCTGACTCAGGGGACTGAGGTTTGTCGCAGGTACATCACAGGACAAGGAACAAACGGAGGCTGCCCCTGGATGGTCATGGATGCAGAACCGGGTCTTCACCAGGGGCTCTACCAGACTATTGTGTGCTCATGGCTCCAGGCAGCTCAAGCAACAGAGGCAACTGCTAGCAGGCACAAGAACCGATCAGGGGCATCAGGAAAAGGTTTGAACCCCCAGGATATCCTATCTGCTCCTCCAGGAGTCTTAAGCCATTTCCTGTTTCACTCAGCAGCAGCAGCGCTTCCGGCGGTGACAGTCCTAACCCTACCCCAGCTTGCCGAGAACTATCTCATTTTTATTATGATGTTTACATGGCGTGAGAGTACGGAGGGTCATTGGAGACAAAAGACATTGTGCTGTTTCCAGTGTTCTGTTTTTCCGAGCGGTATTTCTATTTATAAAATACAGCCATTCTTGATTGCTGAAAATTATTGAAGGCTGGCCCTCATTTAAATTAAATGAAGCTGCACTCTTTTTTGTTTGTTTGTTTGTTTTTTTGCTAAATGAGAAATGAGTTAATGAAGAAAACAGTGCTTGCTGTGGGGTGGTTTAGGGCCATCCAGTGGGGAGGCCACCCAAGGACTCCTGGTACCTGTGCCCGCCAGCAAAGGGGAGCAGGGGGGGTTGGGAGGCAGGGGAGGGGTAAGGCTCTAACGCTTGCTTGACTCTTTCCATTCCTTGATTTCAGTATGCATCAGGGCAATAGGCACCCCAGCTTTCACACTCTTATTTCTACCACCACCCTAGGAAGCCCAGCTGGGGCAGTTCAGTGACTTCAGAATGAAAAGAAGGGCTGGAGACATAGCTCAACGCAAAGGCCTTGGGCTCGATCCCTAGTACCACAACTTAGAACACTCAGTGTGCGATTTTGGCCACGCGGCCTACTTCACGTGACTTTTGCAGAGGCAGGGAGTAAGTGTTGTTTACCTTTGTCCTTTCTGGCCCTGTGCTCACTCAATGAATAAATGATACACCTCACAAAATGACGTCTGTTTAACTTGCAACTGGAAACTACTGAGGACTATGTTGACCATTGATTTGGATCGCAAGGTAAACACAGGCAAGCCTGTAAGGGAAACATATGCCTGTTGTTTTCCATTAAAGGATGACTTTGTCAGTTAATCATTTGTCCTAATTATGCCTGCATTCTGAAGTCCTCTGTCTGCACTTTACTCTCCCACCATTTGTTAACGACCCTCTCTTCTCTCCTCTGCCACGTGGTAGGGGAAGACTCCCAACAGTCCTCACACTGAGCGGCCAGGGTGCATCGTCGCTTTCCGACTTTGTTTACTCCTGACACCGACTTTTGATCTCACACTGAAGGGTTGCACTTTTATTAGGTTTCATTTACTGTCCAGCCCTGTGTTCCAGGGAATGGCACCATAATAGTCAATGAGTAATCTCAGGCTTCAACCTGGCTGGGCTTTAATTCAGCCAAGTAACTAGGAAACCATCTAATAATGGGAAGGAAAAATGGAAGGAGCCCTGGTATGGCCCCAGAATTAGCATCTGCTATGTTATCATGAGTTTAGCAGCTGCCCTAGGCAGAGGGCAATCAGCCCTGGCCCAAGACCCTTGCCTGGGGCCTCTGGGACCAGCGCAGGCCTCCTGGGAAGAGACAGTGACCCAGAATCAAAGGTAGGGTCCAGATCCAGGTTTCTGGGTTAGCTGGGAGAACAGGTCACCAGAACCTCTGACCTTTATGCTTGGAGCCAAGATCATTTCAGACAGAGTTTCACACATTCAGAGCCCAGAGGGTAAGGATTTATTTTTTCATTTATATAATATTATAGGGTGTTTTTTAAACCAGTTTTTCATACAACACTCTCAGAGGAGAGCTTAGGAGAAATGCAGTCACTTAGTTGTGACCCCTTGCTGGTAATTTCTTTACAGATGGATCTGTTCTGACAGGCAGGGCCTCCATTAGCAGCCTTCACGGACTCAGCCGCTGGTAGAGGCCAGCCTGTCGTAGAGGCCAGAGGCTTGTGGGCAAAGGCGGGGCTCCATAGCCTCCCGCCCTTTCCGCAGCTTTTTGGGTGCACACTTGGAAACAGCTCAGCATGTGAAGTGCCACTTCTGGTCTCCAGCCTGTGCCAGCCCTGCAAGCAGAAAGACATCCTGATTCAGGGCGCCCCTTGGAAGTCCATGGACTCAGGACCAGGTGGGATGGAACAATCCCTGCCCTCCTGCCCTGGGCACCTGCACACCAGAGGATAGCTATCTGCACAGAGCCCCTCGGACACTGCAGTGTCTGTGATGCCCTGCGAAAGAAACTAATCACCAGCACTGCAGTCCCAGAGTCAGGGTTTTCTGCTATGGCTTATAAAAAAAAAAAAAAAAAGCAAGCATAACATAGACTGCATCCACGTCTCCATGGTAACATACTACGGATCTCTATTCCATTTATAGAGCTCCTTCTTGACCTCTCTGGGTTCTCTGATCAAGGCCTGAATACACACTGAGAAAGAAACCTTCATAACTGATTCACTCTCCAAGAAATAGCAATTCCTTTAGGGCCTGGTCGTTTTCGCTGTGTAGATGCTGCCTAGGCCCAGGCACCTAACACCTGTACGCCCTCACACGGGAGAAACACGGAGGGGCAGCAGGATCTCAATCAGCCAATGATCGAATAAGCCCTGATCCTGAGTTGCCATGGCAACTGGGAACAGTGGGTACCAAAGAAGCTGGGCCCTTTCTCTCCCTTCCGTAGATAGCAGTTCTTGAGATGCACCAGCCTTCGATCACGCGGGTTGTTCTGCTTCATACACGTTAGGAATCTGAACTCTCTTGCTTGGTATGGAGCCTGTGACGGAGCCTAGATAGGAAATGCACAGGTTGCCAGCCGCGGACTCAAGCACCTTCTAGTAAAACATGGAAAGAAACCACTGTACGCCTGGTGGTTTTGACCATGAGTTTGGAGGACAGACCAACTGGGGTTTCAAACCTTAGTTTCCCATTTAGATGACTCGTTCGGTTAATGACGGCGCAGTTCGCTTCCGTCCCGCTAAAGCAGGAACAGCCAGGCCTTGTGGAACCATGAGAGCACCTCGCGGGCGCGCAGCCCCGCAGCTCCGTCGAGGCCCAGCCCTAGGGGGCGCGCTCCTCCCTCCCCTCGGAGCCGTAGCAAGGGGGTTTCCCGGGCCGGGCAGCTCGCCGGCGACCCTCTAAACTCGGCGCCCGGGGGCGGTCGATCCGCAGTTTCCTAGCCTCTGTTCCCGGGCCTTCACGTGACAGCACGACCTGAAGTCCACGCCCCGCTGCCCCCGCGCGCCACCAGTCTCAGCCCTAGTGCCCGCGGAATCCAACGGGCGCCCGGGCCGACCTGCAGGCTCCGTGTCCCCAGCCGTGGGCCGCAGGCTAGGACACAGCCCCGGGACCGAGCCCGGGGCCGGGCGCCGCAGCAGGCACCGAGGCAGCGGAGGCTGCGGAGGCGGAGGGGCCGGAAAGTGCCACCTCCTCCCCGCCCCGGCGCTGCGCCCGGCCACCGCCCCCGCCGCCTCCGCAGCCCGCGCCTCGCCCTGCGCGCCCCGGCCGCTCCTCCTCCGCTCTCCGCCCCTAGTCCCTCCCCTGCTCGGCTCTCTCCTCCTCCCGCGTCCGCTCCCGGCCCTGCCCCCGCTTCTGAAGAGCGCGCGACGAGGGGGCCGGGCCGGTTACTTCCTCCACCGCGGCGCCAAGCGCGGAGTGGCTCAGCGAACCTAAGTCCAGCCCCGGCCTCGGCGCGCGCCCGGCCCCGACTTGGATCTCCGATCCCAGATCCCTGATCTCCGGTCTCCGATCCCGATCCCAGACCCCCATTCCCCACCCGACCTCGCCTCCTGCTGCGCCACCGAGGGACCCGGCCCCGAGCTCGGCCGCTGGCCGCCGGCCCTGCCCCGAGGCGAGGTAAGAGCAGCCGGGAGAGCGCGCTCCCCGGCGGGCGCGGCGCTCCGGGGCAGATTCCGGGGCGCGATCGGGGACCGCGGATCGCCTAGGGAACTCGGGGGTCGCGCGTGAGAGTTCGGCTTGGGCCTGTTTTCCGGTGACCGGGTGGCCCAGGAGGTGGCGGTCGCGGTCACGCGTGGTGCTGCGCTGCGCGGGTGGTCGGGCGCGGGCGGGGCGGAGGGCGCTTGCTTTTGTTTTTTGGGGGAAGAATCGTGGGTCTGGTGGGTTCCAGCCCCTAGGGGACTGATTTCACCCAAGAGGGTCGGGAGCCGTGTCCCAGATGGCCCCGAGGGTTGGGGGTGACTTCCTGGAAAGGCGCCCGGGAGACTGCAGGTCCTCTGTCACCTGCTTTTGGCCACATCCCGGGTCCGGCTGTGGGCCCCTGCCCCTTCAGAGCGGGTTGCTCCCACTGCGCGGCCCTTATATTTTCTCTCCTTTAGAACGTTTGATTGTAGGGAAAACCTGACCGTTTCTGTGTAATTGGATTTTTTAAAATTTCTTATTTTTTAAATGTTTTTGAATTTTAAGCGCATACACTCTAGTATCTCTTCAGGTCGTGGAAATCTCACCTTTTAATGTTGAGCGCATGACACTTAGGTTCTCCCCGTACTCGATTTTTAGCCTAAAATAGGTAAATCGCTACTTATTTACAAAGTAAAGAAGTGAGCATTTTTGGAGACAGAAGTAATTTATGTTAATTCGCCGGGAAGAGATCGCGTTTGTTCCACAGAATGGAAGCGCCTTCCCTTCCCTTATCTACCATCGCACAACCACCTCCAATCAGGAAGATAAATCTCCACCTTCAGCTTTATTAAAATTCCGAGTAATATCGCGGTACAGTGTGTGCGAACACCCTGTGAGCCGGGGGAAGACAGTCAAACTCTCGTTTCTGAGATTAATCACTCAGCTTGCTAAACTGAGGGCTTTAAAGACTACAAGCAAGCCAGCCTTCAAAAGCTGTCACGGGTTTAGATTTTTTTTTTTTTTTCCAAATTTACCTACAAACAAACCTGTACTGTGATCTTACATAAGTGATTACTTGTTCCAAGAAGAATATTGTTGTCTGGCAAATTCTTGTTTTAGAAAGCAAGCGTTCTCAGTGCTTATATTTCTGCCATTTTTTTCCCTTTTTGTTCTGTTGAAAAGCAAAGATCAAGTCTAAGGGACCCAAACTTGAGATCGATTTAATGTGGAGAAACTTGACCCATCCACTAGTTAATGAGACGAGTGGTGTAGAATAAGTGAACTTAAATTTGATTATTTGTGTGTCTGCCTGAAACCATTTAGTAGAGCTCTTTAATTCTACATGAGTTGTACAAAACTCATTAAAAGCTGGACAACAAAAGAATTCTGTTGTGTAGCTGGTAATTACAGCTCCTTATGTGGGAGTGGTATGCCACCCTCTCTCTTGGTATTTGTACACAAAAACCAGGAAAGCTGTCCCATACGGGCCTTCTTTCACAGATGCTGAAAAGCAGGATTAAATCAAGCATCTGGACAGACCAAGTGACCAAAAAGTACTACCCCATCAGGTTCTGGGTGGTGTCTGCCCTATTTTTTTTTTTTTAATCTGTTTGTCCTATTGAGTTTTTTTGTTTGAGGCTTGTTTATTTAATCAACAGGTGACTGGACTGACTTCACCTTGGTAGATGACATAGGTTCCTGAGAAAGAGCCTGTCATGTGGTAGCCAAGGATTGGGCCTTCAATATTCTTAGTAATACTTGGTGCTGTCTGTCAGCGTGTGGGGAGGTCCACGGTCCAGATTCTCAGCTCCACCCTGCCTTGGGACCCTGTTGTAGCTGTGTGGTCCCAGGCCAGTGACCCCACCCCATAGCTGGCCTCATTTTCTGGCACTGTGGCATCCACATCTCAGGAACGCAGGAAATTCCAGGACAGAGGGACTTAGGGTCTTCCAGGGCCAGGCTCAGCCCTTGGTGACCAGACACAGTGTCCTAGCTGCCTTCCTGGGTAGTGAATATCGATTCCTTTGTGATGGAGGGTGACATTCTCAGCCCCTGTGGCCACTTCAGAGCCAGGGCAACCTTTCCTCTGCCTCCCTCAGGTGGATGACTTACCACTCAGCCCTGGGCCACCGCAAGCCGTCACCTGCAACACTGAGCCTCTCCGGCTCTTTCTAGTATTCTTGCCGCCCTGGCTGTTTTATTCAAGGGCGCGTGTGTTGGGTTAGGGGCCTTTAGGACAATAGTTAGCCATAAATACTGGCCATAAAGAGAAAACAAAAACACAAACACAGAATAGATCATTTCATGCAGCTGTGCAGTTTGCTATCCCCTTACATAGCATCAGTTGCATGGTGATTAGGGTGCCTAGGCTGTGATAGGTGGGTGCACCCAGGGGAGATGGAAGTTGGGCACTTAAGGGAACCCCAAACAACTGGCTGAAGGCCTTCACCTCCGTAGTCCTCAAGTTGGGCAGGGGCTCAAGGTAAAAAACTACCTTCCCAGCGCTTCCCCGGTTAATTTGAGGAGCTTTACTTCCTCAATTGCTTTATTTAGCAGTGTCCTCCTAAAACACGTATGACCAAGCAGGTGTAGGTTAGGGCCCCTAAGACGTGTCCAGCCTTCCCCCAGCACTGTCCTCTGCAAGCCACATGCGTACTTGTAAATTTGCTGCCAGCCATGTTAAAAATAGCACAACAGGTGAAATTGATTTTCATGAACCTGCTATAGTCAAGCTATTATATAAGCATGCAGTGAGCAGACAAATAACTTGAGTCATTTTCCATGTTTTTACCAAATCTTGGGAATCTTAGGAGTATCCTGTCCTCAGCACTCAGCCAGCCAGGTTCACAGTGCTGGCAGTCACCACTTTGGTCTGCACAGCTACAGTGTAAGCCCAGACCATCGAAACCCAGTAGGTGGATTTGTGCTTGGGATTACTTCCTCCCAAAGACATGCACGCCGAGCAACACACAAAACCAAGTGTGTCTTGAGCTCTGTACTCAGCAGGAGGATCACTATCTTGTAAGAGGGTTTGGCCCTAAGGTCTCCCACCCACTACTACCCCTCTTCTTGTCTCTTACAGGAAGACAAAAGAGGGGAACATTCTGGGACCCTCTTCTGGCAGAGCGGGCTTTCCTGGATCTGATTCCTGGGGAGCTACAAGGGGGTCTCAAGCTGCCAGGTAGAGCTCAGTATGTCCTATGCAGTCTCGAGGCACCCCAATTCCCTGCTGCTGCCCCCAAACCCTCACCTAGGCTGCCAGTGCCTTGGAAATCAGTGGGAAGCAGGGCGCTCCTACCAGCTAATCCAGCAAAGAGGGTTCTGACCTACCAGCCTGAAAAAGTTTGGAGTCTCATATCAAAGTGCAGTTAGTATTCAAATGGCTCCGTAGCTCACACCTGTTGTTGTTATACTTGAGCGTTGCTTTCCTTAGAACCTTGAGAAAATCCTTTAGCTACGAATTCCAGCAGCCAGCTGTGAATTACCTGCCACCTGTGGAACTGCCATCAAGCCATCCATGGAGACTTTTGAGAAAAGGTGCTTATGACTCTTCCTTTTCTCTTTCAAGATGAATGACTTTGGGCTCAAGAATATGGACCAAGTAGCTCCTGTGGCCAACAATTTTCGAGGGACACTCAAGGTAAGCACGCATGTGTTAATTAATTGTTACTTATTATTTTTGTTACAAATTGGAAAACTCCATCTCTGGGGGGAAAATTTTGGGCCGGGTCCCAGAAAATTGATTTAGCCCCAGTTTTAATTTACTGGCCGTGTGACTCTGAACTGTGCTTCCTTTCTCCGAGCTTCAGTTTTCTGGTCTGTAAAATGGTTATCTTGAGGCGGGTTCTCCATGTCTTCTGAGATAGGAAACCATGTAATTTGGGAATCAGGAGGCCTTTTCTGTCTGAGGTACCCTCCAAGGGAAAAGACAGATCCTGCCATGGTCGGTGAAATAGCCAGAGGTGCTGTCTCCATCTTGCTGTCTAGTTTGAATTTTTGGAGATGGGAAAGGCCGCTGATAAAGGGATCTTCGGGAGGCTGCTGCTCTCTGGAAGGGGCCAAGTGACGCCCACGGGTTTTGAGGAGCCTGGGTAACTGCAGGGAACTGCAGGCCTGTTTATGTAAAACAAGAAACCGGATGGAAGATGAAAAGGCCAGCACAGCCCTGACTAAACGCATCTCCCGTGCTCCTGTCGTGGGTCCTTTCCGGAGCGTTCTTTCCGTGCACGAACTGATTTCCCGTTTGCTTTCTCCAAATGTGGCAGCGGGCCTGACTGTTTTTGAGTGTTGCGTGGTAAGCCTGTTTCAGCAGCGGTGATTTAGGATTGGCATCCTTTAAGTTTAGCTCTGAAGGTCTGGCCTGCTGGTGCTGGGTTGCTGGCTTTTTCCTCTTTCTCAGTGTTTAGTGAGGCTGTTTGTCGGATAGCAGCTTCCCCTGCCACCCTGCCCCAGCCAACATTTGGCCACAGGTATTCCTGTTATTCCAAGAAGATCAGCAAACTTCAGTGAGTTTTCTGGCTTGATTTGCTTGGGTAGCTTAAGATACCAGAAAATGACCTAAGAAGTGAGAACTCTTACACAGAAACCACCCCCCAGAAGAAAATCCTTCCATGAATTAAAAGGTGATGATGCTCTTGTGATGCCTGGATTCGGAGAAGAAATGGTCATTGCTGAAATTTTGTGTTGAAATAGGAAGCAGAGAGTTGTATTGTTCTTTAGCTTCCTGATTTTAAAAAAAGAACTCGAAATCCAGAAAGGCACCACTTTGTCATGTGGGCAGTGCTAGGGGAAGATGTTTCACCAGCGCCAGCCCCCTGTGGTTTACAGGGCTGGAGGATTATTTTATCCTGTGTAGCTTGGTTGGGTTTTTCTCCTTAGGTAAAGCGCAGGCATTGGGATGGGGCTGAGGCTGGGCCCCAACTTCTGCCTCCCCTCTTCTGTAATGCGTCATTCGTTGTTCTGCATTTCTAAAAGAAAGCACACTGATTTTATTTGTAAATGTGTTGCACATTTTTAAATTGGTGACTCAACAGATGGGTCATTGTATTACACATAACATGGGATTTCCACATTATGTTGGAAAAATGGGGCCGGCGTGTTTTCCCCTGAGTGAAGCAACCGTGAGGGATGAGCTGGTTATGCTCTAGAGATGCGGCTCCCCCAGGAGAGGCTGCTTTTTTTCTCACAAACATTACACGAGGAATCAGCAGCCGTGGATTTCTTCTTTGTACTTGTGTCTTTCCCTTTACCTGGAGAAAGTTTAACTTTAAACCCATCGCCTTTGGCAATGCTTCCCCTTGATGAATCAGTGGAAAGGTTCCTTTTCGTACCCTACATTTATATAAAATGAAAACTCCAGGAATTTTCTTTCATATATTAAAATGCTTTCTAAACCATTAGAACTGATAAGGAAAAGCGTTCCCAGTTTCCCTTAGATTGTTTCGTGGTAAATTTTTCAAAGCAAGCGCTTCCAAAAAGAAAATAGTGTTTCACTTTTGGAGTTTCAATGTGGATTCTGTACTTTGCCTCTTGTCCTGTATTGCACTGAAAGTACCTGCTGTGGGTTACGCTCCCCTACACCCAGCCTGAGTACGTTTTCCTCCCATGTACCAAGGTGGCAGGTATTTTCCAAATGGGACTCCAGGCTTCCACCCAACATGGTGCTAGGATTCTGTTATTTTGAGGTGTATTTGATTTATTAAGTCAAGCCAGCCCCTGACATTACCAAGCACTCCGACTCTGAGGCTAGTTAATCCAGAGAACAATGGAATCCTGTGGGTCACTTTGACCTTCTTAGGAAATCTGTTTCCAGGACTAGTAGGGTGTGCTGTGTGGCTTTGTAATTGCCAGCCCAGCCAGGGTGTGTCTTGAGATTACCCACGGGACACTCATAAAATAGGTAATTAAATCAGTGTCTTATTGTGTTCCTTTCCTTTCCCTCTGTTTCTGCAGCGCCAGCCCGCCTTTGACACCTTCGATGGCTCTCTGTTCGCTATGTTCCCCTCTCTCAGTGAAGAGCAAACACTCCAAGAAGTGCCAACGGGCTTGGATTCCATTTCACATGGTAATTTGTTCTCCAGCCTTGAGAAACGATGCGATGCCCGCTCTCCCAGAGGAGTTCAGTTAACAAAGAGACCGGGGTCATAAGCAAGGATGGCATCCGCCGAATCCTCACTATGACAAGTGTGGGCTGGGAGAAGGCCCGCTGCCTTTGGAGTAACTTGGCAATTCTGATGTTTTTACTTCCGGGGACCACCCCTGCGTTCCTGTTGTACCCTGCAGGGGAACCCCCGAGCTTCTCCTTAGGGTGTTTGTCCTCCCCTCTCTGGTCCACTCTGCCAGACAGACATAAAACCCTGAACCCCGCTTTCCACTCTGGGTTCCTAGAAGTGAAATCATCTGCTGCAGCTGTGGGCCAGCATACTCTTACCATCTGCATGTCTGTCAGCAGTTCTTTCTTAAGATCATTATTTATTCTTTTTCAAGGGACAAGTGTGTTAGATAATGTCCCTGCAGTTTCTTTGGTGGAGCCTGTAGTTGGAAACATTTCAGGGATCGCTTTGTCATGTGAAGTAGGTGCTAGAAAAATACGGCCAAGGAAATTAATTAAAGCACATGGACTTGCATAAGTGTAACACGGGGTGACCAGTGGTTTATCTTTCTTTCTGAGCCCATTCAGAGAAAACTTTTTCTGAAAATTGGGAAGAGCCCCTACTTTACTACGGGTACAACGCTCAGGTCCCTTTGCCCACTGTTCATTTAAGGAACATGACTTCCAAATTTCCCAGTGACCCTGTTTAAGCTATTCAAGCAAAAACCACAATCTGGTTTGTTACTGAAATTCTAAAATAGGCATAAGTTAAAACCTATATGTGTGCTTCCCTTGTTTGAAAATAGAATAAGCTTGGGTTTTCTTGCAGGTTTTTTCCATGTATCTAGTTCTAAGACGTGTCATGTTTTCCCAGTCCTGGTTAAAACATATTTGTTCATATTTTTATGTATCGTAAATATGTCTACTTTTTATTGAGGTGCTGGTGACCTAACCCAGGGCCTCTCGCATGCTAAGCAAGCCCTCTGCCACTGAGCTCCCACCCAGCCCTGTGTATCTACTCTTAAGAAAATCATGGTGCTGGTTATAAAGGTGCACCCCCATCACTCCGCACCCAGAAGCAAGTTCAAGGCCAGCCTGAACTACAGCAAGGCCCTGTCTCAGGCAGACAAACAAACAAAAAGATAAAAGAAAAATTATGTCCAGATGTGAGGTCAGAAGCATTCTTGGCTGCAGTCTTAAGCTTTGTCTCCGAACCCCCTTGGCTGCTGCCCCTTGACGTCCTGACCCCTCCATGTTTCTTTCCAGACTCCGCCAGCTGCGAGCTGCCTTTGCTGACCCCCTGCAGCAAGGCCGTGATGAGCCAGGCCTTAAAAGCCACCTTCAGCGGCTTCCAGAAGGAGCGGCGGCGGCTCGGCATCCCCAAGAGTAAGCACTGGCTTCCCGCCTAGGTTGGCCCAGGGTGGTGGATCAAGCTTTGGGGTTTGATCTGGACCCGGCTCCAATGCCACTGTTTCGGGGTTGCAATGAGAGTGTCTGTGAAGACCACCCAGGCCAGTCCATATTTCAGCAGGGTCCACCGCACCCTTCATCCAGAGCCTGCTAAATGTCTATTCCCGGTGTCCTGGTTTGTGTCTGGGGTCCTATGTGGGCAGCGGCCTGATCTCACCACCTTTCTGTCCCTGGCAGACCCCTGGCTGTGGAACGAGCAGCAGGTGTGCCAGTGGCTTCTCTGGGCCACCAACGAGTTCAGCCTGGTGAACGTGAACCTGCAGCGGTTTGGCATGAACGGCCAGGTCCTGTGCAACCTTGGGAAGGAGCGTTTCCTGGAGCTGGCGCCGGACTTTGTGGGCGACATTCTCTGGGAGCACCTGGAGCAGATGATCAAAGGTGGGGCTGGGTGGCTCAGCCCCAGGTACCACGGTGGGAGGGGACACCGAGGGGAACAGGGCTTTGGGGGCTGCGCCCAATACCCTAGGTGAGTCAGGTGCTCGGTGCTGTCCAGGGTTCATTGCCCAGAGCTGAGTGTGTGCCTTGTATCGGTGGCATCGGGCACAGCCCCGAGGTGGGAGCCTGAGTCATGGAGTGGGTCATTGCTGCCGTCCTGTCGAAGTGGCCTGAGTGGGCTGGGAATGTCGGGCAGCAGTGGGAGCTCCTGTGTGTTAGAGATCAGTCAGCTCTCAGGAAAGGGAGTCTTTCACAGATAAACTCTGAGTTTTACTAAGTCTAAAAGGAATCCAACAGAGTTTGAGAGGGGAGGAGTGTTAGGTATTTCAACAAGGCGGTAATTGATACATACTTACCCACTGAACTTTTAGACAGAAAGCAGCCACACCATATAGAGACAGCCTTGAGGTGGCATGTAAAAGACCAATGAGAATGCCTGGAATATGTGTAAGTTTTCAAAGAAACTCAGAGAAGGGATTGTTTTTGTTAAATAGTCTAAGAAGACAAGCACCTTCGTTGAAGTGGAGGCAGAATTCCTGACTTAATTGTGCATAAACACATCAAGCTTCAACATCCTCCGTAGACTCAGAATCTCAGATAGACCTGGGTTCAACCAACCAGTTCTGTTCAACTCCTAATTTCTCAGGGCCAAGGAAACTTAAAGACCCCAAATGGTTTCTGAATTTGAACAGGTTTTACCTGGAAAGTCACCAGTGAACCTACCTATGTGGCCAAGTTTTAGCTCGTTTCCCTGTTAGCTCGTGTGTGGTTTTGCACGTGTGTGTGTGTGTGTGTGTGTGTGTGTGTGTGGTTGTGTGTGCCTCTGTTCTTAGTAAATGTTAACCTTTTCATTTCAAAGTTCACGAGCACCTGGGTCCCATCACCATGGACAAACTTTGAGGCGTGGAATTACACCAGAATCCTTATGGACCCGGGACAAGTTCCACTTTCTTAATCAATGTCCCCAGCCCCTGGACAGATAGATGTTTTTCATCAGTGTTTAACTGGTTTGGGGGGTTTTTTTTGGATGTAATAAGAATGAATGAAATACTTGTTCTGGATCTTTCCAGTTTGACAGCAGAAAATCTGACTTTGCCAAAGATTTCATTATTTATTTCGGGAAACTCCAGTTATTAGAAAACAGTATTTTCACCATCTGTAGTGTTTCGAAAAGAATATATAATCACATATGACACCACCAACCGAAACGAGAAGGGCGAAGCGTGGCTGATGGAAGATGCCTACTTGGCAGGAGTGCGGGCGATTGCGTTTTCCTTGTGGAGCTTGGACTTGAATTTGCCGTCTTACACCGCCCGTGTTTGTTTTTCAGAAAACCAAGAAAAGACAGAAGAGCAGTATGAAGAAGACTCCCACCTCAACGCGGTCCCTCAGTGGATTAACAGCAACACCTTAGGTCAGTTTGGTTGATTCCCAAAACCTGATGCTTGGCCTGTACAGTGGAAGTTTCCCAGGGACAGTCCCGCCCTGCCCTGTGGCCCTGATGGTGGCCACACGTGGGTACGCAGCAGCTCAAATGGGGCCGCTCCCCTTTGCAACGTGTAGGGAATATAAGACTCACAGACCTGGAAGTCTTAGCATGAAACACAGATTGTGAAATAGCTTCCTCAGTGATTGACAGGTAGCATTTGCACCTTGATGTGATCGTTGATACACCAGGTCCACGAAGACGAACGATTAGTTTGTTTCTTGCTTTTGTTAGTGTCATATTAGAAAATTTTAAATTGTATTAGCAGCTGTTATTACCTGCCGTTGGCTCAGCCCTGGGCTGGCCGGTTTGTAGATTAAGATGAAGGGTAGAGAGCTGAGACTGTTGTCACCAGAGATGAGTCCAGCGTGACACATCGAGGTGGCAGGCACAGAGCAGGCACAGTGCGCTCTGAGTCTAGGAGCTGGAGATGCCGCCCTGGAATTGGGTATTGATGGTCACTTGTGGGCCCAGCTCATGATCTGTTGGGCAAGTTGGTTGTCACTACCACCCTGTTTTTAATGACTCCTCTGTGCAATCCTTTTGCTGTAGGTTTTGGCGTTGAACAGGCTCCATATGGGGGAATGCAGACATCAAGTTACCCCAAAGGCGGCCTCCTGGACGGCATTTGTCCATCCACCATGGCGCCCGGGGTGCTGAGCTCTGAGCAGGACTTTCAGATGTTCCCCAAGTCCCGGCTGAGCACCGTCGGTGTTAACTACTGTTCCGTCGGCCAGGACTTCACCGGCAGCAACTTGAATTTGCTCGCCAGCAGCTCTGGTAAGATGGGCACTCTATTGCAGCCAGGCAATGGGATTGATCTGGGGATGTGGGCTCTTGAGTAAATGGGTCCTGTGTCTGGCTGGGGTCCGAATGCTAAGTGAGCTTCCAGCAAGTGCATTCTGCTAGCAGGTTTCAGACACTGGTCCGTCAGATGCTACAGGGACCCAGTAAGCTACTCACAGTCCCTGCTCTTGAAGCTGATTACCTTGCCCAGTGGGACATTGCATGCAGACCTCAGAATGTGATGTTTCTTTTTATGAGATTGTAAAATATTCACAGTGCACAAATCTCAGGCTGCACCACTGGCTGGGCTTGCGTGTGTTTTGACACCTGTGTGACCACTATTGAGATGGAGACAGGAAAGTTTTGGCTCCCAGAAGGTTGCTCCCTACCTTTCCCAAGCCCATTGCGTCGTCACCCTAAGAGGAAACCATTGACGTTTTATCACCACAGATTGTTTTTTCCCATTCTTGAACTTCATACAGATGGGATCCTACAGAATATTTTCTTCTGGGTTTGTCTTTTGCTGGTCGCTGTGTCTGAGCCTTGCGCATGTTGTGGCCATTTGTTTGGGGTTTTTTCCCACCGTAGTGTAATATCCATTGTGTGAGGCTGCATCCTATCCATTCTTCCCTTGACGGAAGCTGGGATTTGTGGGTGTACTTGTCTTGGAGTATAGCCAAAGAACATTTTAAAGGGTCTGTTGATTCTGCACCAGCAGCGTGCATGGCTGACAGAGGTGGTCACCTGAGAGTCATGGTGTGTGTTGTGCTGTCCTTCCAGGGAAGCCCAAAGATCACGACTCACCCGAGAATGGCGGGGACAGCTTTGAGAGCTCAGAGTCACTGCTGCGCTCCTGGAACAGCCAGTCCTCCCTGCTGGACGTGCAGCGCGTGCCCTCTTTTGAGAGCTTCGAGGACGACTGCAGCCAGTCCCTGTGCCTAGGCAAGCCGACCATGTCTTTCAAGGACTACATCCAGGAGCGCAGTGACCCGGTAGAGCAGGGCAAACCAGTCATCCCTGCAGCCGTGCTGGCCGGCTTCACAGGTGCGTGTGGCTGCCTCTCTGTCCCATCTTGAGCCCCATGTATCTCAGGGCTTTTGTGGTAAAGCCTGTCATGTTGACTCCCGGCAGCTGCTCCTGCCTGGCATGCATTATCCCTGGATGGTGGAAAAGCCACCCAGCCAGAATGGCCTGTACCCGGAGCTCGGGGTGGGGGTGGGTACAACCAGGGGCCTGGCTTTCCACCTGCAATGCAGGGGAAGGAGGAGGAGGAGATGGATGAGGAAGAGGAGGAGGAGGAGGAAGAGACAGGCCGGGCGGTGCAGAGTCCCGGCCTGACTCAGGGCTGCAGGCGCTCCAGGAATGTAAACTGGCCTGGGAGGGGCAGCCGGCCTGGCCCAGGTCCTGGGCACTGTTTACCTCCCTGGCCTCTCAGGTTAGGATGAGAGCTATTCTAAGCAGAGGACAAATATTACAGCTGTTCTTGGAACCAAATATTTCCAATACTAGAGCAAAACTACAAAATGCCATCCGTGTCCTTAAATGTGCTTCTTTTTTTCATACTTAGACTATGTAGAGCCAACATGGATTTTTTTTTCAAAAAGTTTGCCTGCAAATAATACTGTAGAAAAGGGATTTAGCTCAGTGGTATGAGGGCCTGCCTGGCAAGCACGAGGTCGTGAGTTCGATCCCCAGTACTAAAAAATAAAAACAAAAACAAATAGTACTGTAGATGAGATGAGGATATGTGGGCACATTGGTGGTTGTTGTTGTTTAAGTAATTGGAAACAAACAGCCACGTAAATGTGTTAATAGTAAAGAGTATGTGAGCCCCAGTACTTTTCATAAACAACTGTGGCTCTGGTGCTTTCCGGTCTGATTACCGCCTGTCAGCAGCCACTCCTGTGGTTACCTGGGTCTAAGACCCTTGGCCTGACTGTGAGCCCCTTCTACAGATGGGGAAATTGCCTCCGACTCGAGCAGCTCTCACTCAGGTCACACGGGTGACCTGGCTGTGTCTGGCTCCAGAGCACACGGGCCTGGGTACTGTACACAAAGTCTTTGTGTGGAGACTGAACCCAGGGCCTTTGCCCTGGGCAGCATCCCTGACCCCTGTTGTATTTTTATTTTGAGACAGGGTCTCTCTAAGTCAGTTAGCTGCCCAGGCTGGATTTTAGCTTACAGTCTCTCTGTCTCAGCTTCCCAGATTGAGAGATTATAGCACTATTCCAAAGCATTCTGGGAATTTTGGTAGAAAGAGGTGGGGCTTTGGATCAGAAGATTCCTTGTGCTGATGTGCTGATGGGCTGGGATCCAGGACAGGGCTTCTCCTGTCACCGGGACTCTAAATCGGGGTTCAGGAAAGGCAGTCAGTACCACCCCATCTGAGTGCTGAATAAACCATGTCCCACGTGGCAGCAGTCTGTGACCCAGGACCCCCGTACCCCTCTCCTGCCCTTCTAGTGGTTTCTAGAAATAAACCTTCCAAGTTTCTGTGTGAGGAACCAAACTCAGGATGAGAAATGGTAGTGCTGAGGGCTGGAGCCAGGCAGGGGTGCAGGGCAGAGCGTCTGGTGAAGAAGCAGGTGGGCAGGACTCCTTTGCAGGCTCTGGTCTCACCTCTGGGCCACCTCGCCCCAGGGCCCAGGCTTACCCCATGGAAGTGTTCCGACTTTGCCCCCCACCCCCAGAGTCGGAGCTGCATCGCAGCCAGCTCCCATCCCTCAGTGGGTGGTTTGAGCCCCGTGGTCCGGAGCCTGTGGAGATGTGTCACCACGTTCCTCTCTGTCCCCCAGGAAGTGGACCCATCCAGCTGTGGCAGTTCCTCCTGGAGTTGCTCTCCGACAAGTCGTGCCAGTCCTTCATCAGCTGGACTGGGGACGGATGGGAGTTCAAGCTCGCTGACCCCGATGAGGTACGGCCCGCGCCCTGGGGAGCCCGGGCTCCAAAGCCTGGTTTATCACCTTGGCTTTAGGGGCACATTCTCTTGAGCCACAAGAAAGGGCGGGTTGCTTGGTTGGCAGCTGAGGGATTCCCCCCACCCCATCCTGTCCATAGACCTGAGACCGACTGCCCCGTTGGTCAATGTCTGATGAGAAGGCAGAGCCGCCAGCTGAGGTCCTCCTGCGGCCATCTGAAAGCGCCTTCCTTAGATCTATCCTTGTCACTGAGTGAGCCTCACACTGGCCCCCGGTAGCCTGGAGGAGTGAATCACAAGAGGGAGGTGGCCACTGCAGGGCTTCCCAGGACAGTGTCACAGGAACCCTTGGTCCCTGGCGTTACAGAGCCCCATTTGTCACCTCCCTGTCCCAGTACTGGGACATGTGACAGGGCTCAGGCCGCTGCTCAGCAGCTGCTGACTTCAGGGGTTGGAAACGGAACCCCGAGGTGGGTGGTATCACCTGGTCCCCACCTCAGGTCTTCTTGGCCCCTGAGCTCTCGGTTCCCAGGAGGCTTTGCGGAGACAGAGTGGGGGGCAGGAGACTGGGGACCTCACACTCCCATATGCAGAGAAAACAGCCAAGGAGGGACAGATCCCGTGTCCCTTGTGTACTAAAAGACAAACGGAGCCCCAAGGGCCTTGTGCAGTGGGGCACACATACTTTGAGGTGGCAGCATCGACCTGACCAGCATCTTCGTGGTTGGCTTTGATGAACTTCACTCTTCACTTGTGTTCCCCAAAGGTGGCCCGCCGGTGGGGCAAGCGGAAAAATAAGCCGAAGATGAACTACGAGAAGCTGAGCCGGGGCTTACGCTACTATTACGACAAGAACATCATCCACAAGACATCGGGCAAGCGCTACGTGTACCGCTTCGTCTGCGACCTGCAGAACTTGCTGGGGTTCACACCTGAGGAGCTGCATGCCATCTTGGGGGTCCAGCCTGACACAGAGGACTGAGGTCCCGGGACCGCCCTGAGCCCACCCCGGCAGTGGGGAGTGGGAAGCCCGTCTTGTCTGGCTGCTCCAAGGACCCCTGAAAGGCGTCCAGGAAAGTCACTGAGAAGCAGCGGCCTCATTTCATCCGACAATGCGCCTCTTGTGTCAAGGCTGCACCCCCACCGCAGCAACAGACTCTGCTTCTCGACTCTGGAGTCTCCAGGCGGGCAGTGCCACTGTGGAGCAGTGGCAGCTGCAAGGGCTTCAGGAGGCCAGCCTGTGTCTGCCCCGCCACACCACGCCCCCTCGAGGCGAGGTGCCCCCACTGCTTGGAGATTCTCCAAGGAGGGAGCACGTCTCGGATGCACAGCCTTTGACTCGCGGAATTTTGGACTTTTGCAAGGAGGATCAGTAAACGCACACAAACCAGCTCTATTGGAGAGGGATGGGGGGCGGTGGGAAGGAAACCAGCGATGCCGTGTCACGAGTTTTGTATATATTATTGTAATCTTTATGATTGCTATTGGAACCCTCATACTGTTCTATTTAACAGAAATTGTATATTGTATTTAAAGTAATTATGTAACTATTTGAAATAAGAATGCAGACATTCACTATTTTATTGCATTTTTCAGCACACACACGAGCGGCATTTTACGGAGATTTAATCTGCCAGCGTGGCAAATGAAAAGCATTGTAAAGTGTGATATTTTCATATAAGATACCTATAGGAATATGATCCGCAGGGCTCGGCCCTGGCCTTCTGTTCTTTTGTTGTTTCATGTTTGTTTTGCCTTGGCTGTTATCTGGCAAAGACTTTGTACATTTGGGGATTTTTATATATATATATATATATATATATGTATAAGAAACGTAATGTTATTATCTCAAGGTGGAGAGGATGCCTGGCCTCTCTGTTTTCTCCTTTAATTGTAAAGTAAAAGCTATAAGCAGTATTTTTCTTGACAAATGGCATATGTTTTCCACTTTTCTGCATGCCTTTCAATCAGTTTGTACACAGATGTCTTTTATTTTTTGGTGTTTCCCGTGTCTTTCCCCGCCAGCTCACCTCTCCCTAGCCAACCGTTTCCATTCCATGCTCACGTTACTCTGTGATTAAAATAAGAATACTATTTTTGGAAATACTCGACTCCTTCTCAGAGATCAGGAGGGATTTGTGTAGCAGCTATTTTTACTGCAAAAGTAATTCACTGGAAAAAAATGTAATTTGTATGAAAGCTTTATTTTTATCTCAGCTCTGTGTAAAGTTTGAGTGCTGGACGGGGGAGGGGGATGGGAGGGGTCACCGTTAAACTCTGGACCGCAGTGAACGAGGCATGGCTTGGGCCATCTGGACCGAATGCCCTGCTTTCCAGTTCGTGTCTTCAGCCAGAGGCTGTTTTGGGGGCTTGGAGTTTTGTTTTTCTTCCCAGTTTTCCTGGACACAGAACACCCAGAGGCACAGAAAAAACCAGACAGGCAAGAATTCCTAGTGGTCCCCTGGAGGAAAAGATTCCTTCGATCCAGCTCAGGAGCACTGAAGTCCACCGTGTGTGTAGTTCTGACCTTTTGAAAAGGTCAAATCCCTCCAGCTTCCAAGTGGGACAGACTTTACTACTTCCTGGCAAACTGGCTTCCGACATCTCCAAAGACTCAAGAGTCGTCATGGGATGAGACTGTGGAATGGGTCCAGGGTGACCCGGAGCAGCGGAGCCAGCCCTGGGCTGACAGCCTACGTGTTCAGAAGCAGTGTGCTGAAGCACGGGGTGTTTTTTCTGAGTGGGACTTATTTATGACTGGGACATCTGTTTACAATATAAGCAGACGTGTGACGGGGACATCTTGCTGCCAGGAGAAAGCGTTAGCCATCAGCTCGATTTAATATGAGTTTGAACAGCATGATGTTGCCGGTTCGAGGCTGCTTTTTATCAGCCTAGGTGGCAGCTTAATGTAGTGCGACCTGATGGCTTTGGAAACGGGGAGCCTTTGACGCAGTCGCGGGCAGATCTGAAGTATGGAAAGTTTTGTAACCGGGCCTTTCTGAAATAAAGCATTTGCTTTATGTAAAGGACACCTCACCTCGTAATGGTCCTCATGCTTCCTCTTGCTCCTCCAGCCACATGCCACCCTGCTCAGAGGGCCATGGTCCACTGTTGACCTAGGGGGTTCACACTGCAGTGTGCCCCACCCTTCCTCAAAGAACCCCGAAAACGTGCTCCTTCAAATGGATGGTCCATTCAGGAAAGGTTTGCAGTGGGGAGACTTCTGTGGCAGAAGTAACCTGAGAAGAGATTCAGGGGCGTTTGGAGAGGCCAGATGGGAGTGGGAGGTTTGCGTGCTGATGCACTGGGTGACAGCTCTCCAGGCCCCGTGGCTGCATTGCTGACACTGGGGTGGTGACGGAATGAGGAGGGTGGTTGCTCTCTGAATTCATGAGGACACTGACGAGCATACCTCTCTCCCCAACTTCAGGTTGACAGAATGTTTACAGGGATCAGCAAACATGGCTACCAGGCTGCTTCCTCTCTCTGCAGGGACCTGGTTACTAACTCACAAACCACCGGCTGCACCGGAGAACCCTGACCAGATTAGGGTTGGAGGCGGAGCTTGGTGGAGCATTCGCCAAGCAGGAGAGGGGCCTTAGGCTCAGTCCCCCGTCACCGTATTAAAAACTACCATAAAAAATTACCACCAAAAAGTTCCTGTGTTAAAAGTTAAAGCAAATATTAGATTTTAAGCATGGTGTTGCACATCTCTTTAATATTTGCTTTAATAAAACACATAGCTGGATTCTTCTACTTGGTCCTGCACTCAGTCTCTCTTCTGGCATGATTTGACAAGAGTATACGAAGGGAACCTGGCCTAACACAGATCAGCATTTTTAGCATTTAGTCATATCATATCGCACAACTGTGGATGTTCTTTTACATAATGTCAAAAATTACACATGGTCATTTTTTAAACTCTGATTGGAAAAAATATGAAACCATATCAAACTTTCCATGATGACGTTACGTTCAGTTGCTCTGTCTTGCACTGTGGATGGCTTTTACTTGTGATTTTGTAACATCACTCATCAGTCAGTTGGAAACTATTGCTACCAGCTGATGACACATTTCAGCAGATTATAACAAATGGTCACAGCAGTTATGATCACTACTCTTATTCAAAAAAGTAGGCAAAAACCATGATGCTCGCAGTGACAGATAAAATTGAGAACTCACATTTTTCTTTAGAAGTTCAGATTTTATCATTGCTAAGATGCTCTCCCCTAGATTATTTTATTGGAAGTGACATTTTTTTCATTTATTTAAAAGCAAAGACATAATCCACCAAATAGACATAATTTGTTAGTCATTCTCTCGGGTAAAAGTGATGTCCACAATAAAGTGGTTAGTTTAGCTGACAACACACACCTGCATTTCCTTGGGGCTGTTGCCACAGAGTACACAGCAGGTTTTCATTTTATTACACAGGGAGTGAAAAGGTTTGTGCTCTTTTTAGTTAGTTAATTTTTACTGCTGCATCAAACACATTCTTGAGTGGGATTGGTCTTTTCCTTTTTATATTTGTTTTTCAAGCAATTACACATCAGTGAGGAACGTGATTTAGTGCTTCTGCCTGACTTCTGTTAAGGCACCAGCAGTCTGACTCACCCTTGACTTTGCACAAACAATGCCAGTATCAACACAGGAAAAAAGGCAAATCTGTGGATCTTACCACTCAAAGTAGTTTTAACCTTGACATGGCTGTGAAAGGGTGACCAGAGATAACCAGGGTCTGGACCGTACTTTGAAATGAAAGGAGACTATAAAAGGAGAATGTCTCCCTCAAACCATAAAAGATAGACCCCAAAGGACAGGAAAAATTAGCTCTGACTCTCCCTAACCCAGCGTCAACTATTCCAGTCTTATCTTTGCACAGCAAGATACCATTGTACAGGATGGAGACAAAGTTCTTTGACACAGGGAAAAGCATACATTTTCAAAGTCCTCTTCCTCCCATCCTATTTTTGTCCCACTCCAATTCTAAAGTTTTTAGGGAAAATAATGTATATTTCACCACATTTCTGACAGTTCAGAATTATCCTCTCTTTGAGTTATAATTGTCTGTTTAATGCATGTTATGAGTCAGCTTTCTGCCACTATACCAAATACCTCAAGATGTAAGTTTACAAACAGGAAAAATTTGACTCTAATGTTCCGTTCCATTGCTTTGTTTTGGGCTGTGGACAGGCAGTGAGCTCAAGGTGTGGCAAAGCTGTTCACCTCATGGCCAAGAAGAGAAAGAGAAAAGAAGAAGCCAGAGAGACGGATCCATGCAGCGACACTCCCAGTGATCTATGACCCTCTAGGCTCAACCCCCTAACAGTTCCATCACCTCTCAATAGCGGCAAAGGCCAGAGACCAAGCCCTTGGAGCTCTCCAAACTCAAATCATGGCCATACAGTGTCTTTCCCAAGAGCTGTCTAGTATTTAAAGAATTAAATGGTCAAGAGAGGTTCTAAGGAAGATGTTTCTAGACAAAGCAGAATTTAAATCATCTTATAATAAATTCTACAAACTGCCCCTTTAATAAATGGTAATGTTGGGCCAGGAATTTAGCTCAGCAGCATAAGCACCTACCTGGCAAGAACAAGGTCTTGAGTTTGATCCCCACTACTGGAAAGAAAAAGAAAACTTGTAACCTTTTATCCAAAGTTACACAAACATTAATCAAATCGCCTTCACCATGTGACTATACAATTGAACTCCATTGCTGCTGATAAAGCATCAATAATAACTTCTATGACCTTATCTCCTTGTTTGTAAAGATAGGATCCATTGAGGTCTTTTGTACTTGTGATTGGTCTGAATTTCTTGTCACAATTTTTAAAAGGTTTAGCAAAAGCATGAAGGAAGGGAACTTAAGTGTATGGAGGAGTCATTTTTCTTAAACTTGAATCCGAGGTCGTGCAGAGGCACGGTGGCTGCGGCCCAGCCTTTCTGTGTGTGGGGAAGAACCGTGTGCTCCTCCCTGCACTCCTCCCTCCGGCAGGACTTCCAGCTGCCCTTGCTGACTGGATGGAGGACTGCAGACAGTGGACACTCTTGGCAGATAACGACCCGGAGTCCTGTGGGGGCTGTCAGTGGGGTGTGTAAAGTATGGGGTTCAAGGGCCTGGGGGATTGGGAGCTGGGGGTGCCATGTGGCCGTGTAGCCAGCTGCCTCATAACCTCCTTGGTCATCAGGGTTTCCAAAGTTTAGAGCCAGCTTGGGTAACTGCCCTCCGTGTGGCCTCCGTGTGACCTGAGCACGGGGCACACTAAATTCTGCTTCCATTCCCCCTCCACACACGGGCTCCCAGGGTGGCTGAGTGTGTGTCAAACTGTCCCTGGCACAGCATGGCATGTGGTCGGAAACCTGAGGGTGACAACATGAGCATCATGAGCACAGTGCTCCCGGCAAGATGGGCTGAGCCAGGGGTCAGCAAAGAAAATAGGGTTCCTGACAGCCGTGTCTCCCTCTCCATGTACCCCAGCAGCTGGGGCTCTCTGGCCATGTGTCATGGTTGGATGCCCCCTCCAGAGCCAGCTGAAGTGCTGCCGTGACAGACTGAGAGGTGACGAGGGTCCTGCTTGGCAGTGGACTCAGGGGAGTGGGTTTGTTATCACAGGAGGCAGCTCCTAAAAAGAACATTCTCTGGGCCCGATTTGTTCTGTTTTGCACCTGTGCCCTTGCTGATGAGCCAGTGAAATGGTCCGCCGCAGATTCAGGCACCTGACACTGCACTGCCCTGTCTCAAAACCTGCGGAAAACAATTTTATTTATTTATTTACTTGCAAATTGCCCACTGTGTGATACTCTGGAACAGCAGTAGAAAAGCGAACTGAAACACTGAGTGTGGGTTAAGTCACTGTAAATGCTACCGAGGGGCTCCCCCAAGCTTCCAGTTCCTCCTCCCACAAAACAGAGACCACGGCCCTTGGTTTGACTTTGAAATTACCCTTAAACTTCCTACCCCAGGCACACACCGTCAGCCTCCCAAGACTGGTGGCAGCCCATTGGGTTTGAGCAGATACAAGGCTCCCGCAAATGGGGCCAGATGCAAATCTGTCATTTCTGTAGGAGGAACGCAGCAGGGTGAGACCGAAGCAGTGCTGGGGAAACCCCCGGCGGTGTAAGTTTGTGTAACTCCTGGGCAGGGTTCACACACTCGAGTTCTGCTGGAAACCGAACAGTAAGGGAAAGACCATTTTTGGTCATGCTGTTGTGACATCTTTGAAGTGGGATTGACATGGCCTTTGTTCTGTGCGCTCTGGGTCCCCTCCCTGTCTCTCCAAGTCGTGTTCAGATGGCAAAACATCCCAGGATTGCCACACCAGCCTCCCGCCAGGTGTTTCCATGTCTCTAGCTCTGATCTCTTCAAAGGCAGGGCACCTGTGTGTGTGTTTGTGCAGCACGGCGTCAGAAACGTCTGTTCAGGAGCTCTTGTGGTCTGGAGAAAACCTGTGGGGTCAGAGAGCAGACAGTGGAGGTGGGAAATAAACAGCAGAGGAGGTGTCCAGTGTAGTCATGGCCACCAAAGCTCATGGGGAGAGACTCCTGTCCTGTTTGCTGGTAAACTCCTTCCCTTTGGTGCTGGGAGAGAGTACTTTTCATTGCAAAGCAGGTGGGTTATTAACAATCATGAAATACAGCCCCGATTCCAAAGCTCACTGTCCTCTGTGGGCATCTCATTTACCCCTCTGTGTCACCCTTGGAGGTTGGTTTTTTTTTTTTTTTTTTTTTTGGCTTGATTTTGCAGAAGCACCGAGGGCTGAGAGGTGAAGCCCCGGTAGTGAGACCAGAGGGCCCACCTACAGCCTCCATCTCCTGTGCTTGACCAGACCGCAGCCTGGGGCCATCGGGGGCTCAGAGGCCACACTGGCATGATGCTTGGTGTGTGGACATCTCCCCAGGCGCTATACCCTGTCGGTCCAAATTATCAGAAAAGACTATAGATGCTCTTCTCTCTCTCAGGATGAAGCTACTCTTCCACCACCCTGAGAAATTGGCATCTTGTCTATAATTCTGGGGTCCTCAGGAATCAAA